CTGAATCTTTTTGTAAACAACTGTGAACCGCATCACTCCCACGGACCCTGTTGTTTGCGCATTATATGGAAACCTAAAATTATATTTCCGCGGCATCTATACCTCGTTATAAGAGAAATTCTTCTCCAGAGTTGCCATCCCATAAAGAAACCAACTGGAGAAAATACTCAGCCCCAAAAACACCTTTTTATTTTGGTCTGCTGAGGCGTGCTTCAAACTGCAGACATCCTACGTTAAAGGCATTACAATGCAAGCGTCAACATATTTCATCCAGTTTCATGAGGTTATTCGTTGAAAACAGTGTAAGGGCATATATCCGCTAATGAATCAATAGACTTTTTCTTAATTACAGAGTACATCCAGTAGGCTGCAAATAAAGTAATCAGTTTCGGCTCACGTTTTTCAGTTTCCCATGTTTTCAGAAAGCCAGAAATATAGTACAAGCTGTTTCACATGGAGCGCAAACAATGAATAAGTAGTTAAATTTTCAAAAAAACTACCTACAAGGTCGCTGAAATCTTCTCGACAACCCATGGCAGGTTTCCCTTTTCTTCGGGCTCATTAGATAGGCAGAGTTACCGACTTTTCATCAACCTTCTGTTACATTTGGAAGTAAATTGGGCTTATTTCGACAAATACACTCATTTGCATATTAATACGGTTTTCACAAGAGAATTGAGCTCATTAATATGCATGAATGTGGTAGTATAAAATGACTTCAATTACCTGACTGGAAGAATGAAAAGGCAGTGGAATGTCAAACCACAAATCTTGCATTATCGGACAAAGATTTTCGTCCGAATTGTTAAAAACAGCGAGTCGGATAGGGAGAGCTTATGCACTTGGTTCACATACGGTTGGCCAGCACATGTGCACTCATCAGGCAGGAATAAACCAAGCACACCTGACGTACGGGAGCCATTTGATCAAAGCACTCAGGCGAAATATAGCCAGATGCAGAAAAATGTTAGTAAGTTAGAGTAATGTCAGTGATATTTGATGAATTCGTATACGTCGGAATGGACTTGTGAACTCCCTGTAGTTGAAAATGTATTGGGATATATTCGCTTTGGCGCGTTTATTGGTGCTTGATCAATGACCAACTAATGAACCAGTTCGTCAGCGTCATCAATGTCAGAAAAGGACGCCACGTGATCTCGAAAAATTTACTGGCAAATTTTCTGAATCACCGGGCTCTTTGAACTAATTATACTGTCTGTGCAGAAGTGCAGTATTCGTGGAATACTGCTTTGTCGCCTTGAAATATGTGAAGTGATTGGTTGCCCCGAGACACTTCTGCCACAGTCACCCAGTGTGAAACGGTTCAGTGCATTGGTATTTTATTACAAAAAGAGTTCACGGTAAACGACTGTGAAGAGAGACGCAAAGTTACTCAGCAATGCAGATGAATTTTTTGTCACCTGGATGTGCTGCACAAAGGCTGAGTACATCACTAGTTCAGGTACCTAACTTTGGCTTTCCAAATAATACCGTGGAATCGGAAAAGCCCACAGGCAGCCGCTCCTACTTCTTACTAGCTGAAGCTTACCAGGCAGATGCACCACACAGCTGAGCTGGCTTTGGCAACGCACCCTTTTCCCCAACCTGCACGCATAGGCGAATAATAAGATTTTCTCAATTTGAATATGGCTAAAGTTTGGGGTTGACAAGAATATCACAGATGCATTATCTTGTACCGGTTTGTTTGTTTAAACGTCAATTAGGTGGCTGTTTAAAAACTGCTGATTTTTGCAGGCATCGCCTCGTGCGTTCGTCTAAAATTTTCCTGCCAGAGGAGACCGCCTGTCATGAGTTTATTTGCCCCCTAATAACCATATAGGAGCGGAAGGGCTTGGAGCATTGTTTTTCACTTTTGCTAGGGGTGCTGTGGGATAAATGAAACAAGACCGAGTTATTTAATTCCTGGTATTTGGGAAATATGATATTATTCAGAGTTGGTCGGTTTCGGTTCAAACGTATTGTTACAGGATCTGGTGAATCAGACTTGATATTGTGGTTTCTACGTTTACGTGATCACTTATCAGCACTGTGTGCATAGGCAAATGATAATTGCATAATACGAAGCTTTTCCTTACATGTGAACGAGTGAAATGTTTCAAGCGTGCTCTTTAATTAGGGAAACACCCCCGACATTACTGATGATAAAAAAGGCACATGATATCCGGACTTTGGGAAAAACACTGAGTTTCCCATGTACTTCGTGAAAACCAGTAAAGCTACGTCAGTTCCTGTGATTTTTGATTATTTTGAACTGTCAATGAAAATCACCAGCTTGTTTTAATGTGCCCATAGTACCACCAAAAGCACACGTTGACATGAAAAAAAATTTTGCCATTCGGCTTTCAGGCTACGCAGGTTAAATGCAACTACGCGGTGAAGCTACGAAACAATTCCTTTGCAAAGAACATTTTTTTAAAGTTGTAGCTGTCCACTGATGCGTATTCTTTGGGACATCAAACGCATTTATTAAAAAGTAACCAGTAGTAAATCCAATGGGAATTCCATGACAAACACGCCGAAATTTTGGCACAAAAAGTTGGTGGAAGAAAAAGCCAAATTACGTTGCTGCCTGAAAGTAATTTATTTAGGGATCAAGTGTGATACCGGACTAACCACAGAAATTGATGTAAAAGAATACCGTTCCTTGAGGGCGTAAAATGTGTGACAAATTTGCTAACATTTAAAGGGCATGTGTACTCTGGTTTGAAATCAGCTGATCGAATGCAAATTTGTCAGAATGATTGATGGTTTATCTGAAAACTCCTCTTATCGGTGATACGGATAGAAGGAGACGGAGGAATGCTGGAAAACGATGGACTTCACAATGCATTCCTGGATCATCCAACGTAAGCGTTACTGGTTGTGTATTTTTTTAAGCAAAGCAGCTGTTCATCTAACCCACTGATTTAAAATACGGTGTAAAATTAGGCAGTTATGGAAAAGTAAAATTAATCCCATGATGCAACGATGTCTTGACGGGGACTTGTCTTAGATATATCACTAGACGGAACCTGGATAGTCTACCGACAAACATATTTGATACTGTTGGTAATTTGTTGGAATTTGCTTTGAGGTACCCTCGTCTGTGAGAGGCCAACCTATGCCAAAAATCTAAGGAACACTGGACAGCTGTTTCATTTTTGTTAGGAATCATAAAAACTACGGATCTCACGACCTTCTCGAATCCGCGATTTTCTGGCTTGAACTTTCGGTCATGGGTGTCTGATTATCAGCTTGATTAACTACCACCTAAACGAAATGTAGATGGAACCGTCTTATAGGACGAACTCAAAACGGAAAATTCCCGAATTTCCTCACACTGTCAACCATCCTTGGATGGTCAAGAAGAAGGGCGATTGAAACTTCCAGCTGAAACGTCACCATTACAGAGTGCGGTCAACAAGTGACTTATTTTCTGTAATTGAAGGATGAGTGGTGTTGCATTATAAGTGAGTTAGTCATGCTGCAGATCAGATGCTTGTGACTAAGTAGCTAAGTGTTCGAACGACACTCCGGAGGTTAGCTGGCATTTTTTTCACCAGGCATTACAGTGGATTTCCTAAGACAGTGGAAAATGTCAGGACACCACGTCACTGATTTTAAAAGTCACCATTTGACTGTCCAAGATGTAGCTCTGTGGGCTTCAGTTAACTTTCCGTGGTCACTTGACCTAGCGGGGTCGCACATGCCAAAAGCGCACAGCCTGATGGTAATGAGTTGCATGCAGAGTGAGTTAGAGTACGTTGGCAACTGTGCTCTTAATAAACTAATTGCAGCCTTCGATTAGCAGCTCCTTGAGTGGAACATCACATTCGACGTCAGCAGGATGTGGAATATTTGTATCACTGCTCTGCTTCCACCAGTCACGCTGAAGGTCTCCGAGAAACTGTGCAACATACTTTTCAGAAATCAGTAGGAAATGGACAGTATTTGAACACATGAGGTTTTTCTCTTGTAGGGAAGAAAGTAATTTGTAAGGTTGGGGCAATACAATTGGTCTATAACAGGAGGGTACTGTTTTATGACACTGTGGAACGATATGTCTTATTCATCAGTATATCATTCTTACACTTGCTAATGAAATATCGATTTCGGTTTTCTCAAACTCAAGTTACTTCCATTAGAGGGTATTCAAAACAAACGCATCTTATGGGTTAGCGTCTGGCAGTGCTTACCAATTTTTACAAACTTCAAAGAGTTGAGAATGGAGTTTCAGCAAACGTTTCTTATTAAAGTAACAAGATGCTTAATGAATCACCTCGAGCGGTCTCTTCATAGTCAAACTAGTGCTCGCTGCTTTGCATTTTCCCCGTAGAACGATTCACAACTTTGAAATTATTTGATAATGGACTTTGCGGTATAGGTGAAGAATGTTTCGGTATTCCGACATGAAAGAACGCGTTTTATCGTATGGTTGTTCCCACAGTTCAGTCAAGTGCTCCGAAGATGAGTTCTAGCCGATTGTGGGAAATGTTTGGTACGATTATCTATTGCTCAATTGTGCTTTCTTTTCGGGCTTTCGCTTGGGATAGAACATTCAGTCAAAATGAAGGCAAATTTTTCAAACCAAAAACATTTTGTCGAGCTATTTAACGTAGTTCTGGATGAAGATGCGGTAAAGTGCGAAACCTGTTCATTCTTGAGTTTGATGAAACGGGAACTTAATACAAAATTTTTATGGTTTGGCACTCCGTTTTCCATTTTGCATTGCACATATTGATAGCTTGCATTCGATGAAATTATTAGGTTGTCAATCATGTGTTCGTAACATTCCTATGCCACTGATAAACACAATGGTTCATTGAATTTATGGGCATTGTTCAGTACCTAACAATATTGAGACAAATTATCCTGACGCGCACATGACCCGGAGATGGTTTTATTTTTAGATGCTTAACTAGTCAATCTGAGGAATGCTGATTACCCCTTTAGCAGTCACAAGAAACAGAACATATTTGAGTCAGTATTGAATGGCTCACATTATGGATTCATAGCAATAACTCGGTTCAATATTCATATAGTTTTCCACCACTTTTGGTTGTCTGTACTGTCCTTCAGTTGATTTCGGTGTCATCTTGTCTCCCTTAGTTCCATTCACTCCCAACCCAGATGGGCTCTTATCCAACGCAACAGACAGACGCATCAGTATGTTTAGCGGCTCCACGAGCTAGGGTGAGGAAATAATATGTGATTGCGCTACCGGTTTCTCTAAGTGTTGTTACTTTGCCAAAATTATCTTTGCTGCGTCATTAAGCAGGACTTGTAAAAAGCATCCCAAACGATGATGAAGGCCAGTCGTGACGTGTTCGAATATAAGGATAGAACTTCTGTGGATATCAGATCTAACGCGGACGTGCAAATGGGTTGGTTCGTTTTATTTTTGACGAAGCGATCGCCACTGGACATCTTGTCGTTGTGTAGAGATTGGGACAGTAGGTGGTGTGTTGATTTATGCAAATCAATTGTAGTATCTCATGCAACCGTAGTAAATAATTGTATCATGCTGGCCATCACGGTGCTAGATTAAGTATGCTGTATTTTACCAAATAGAAAGTTTATATAGAACACCGCAAATGCCTTGGAAGTTACTTTTCACCTTCTCTTCGGCAGAATGCGGTGTGTGTATGCAGGGCGTAATGAAAGAAACGGGATGTGAGTCAGTGTCAGCAAGAACGGTGATAAATGGGCAAAGTTCAATTCGGAGTTGGTCAGTGGAAAATAAAAATTTGAGAATTCTGTGTTGCTGGCCAAACAAGCACTGGCACCTAGTTACCTGTATCATCTTGAACACAACCTTTACGTCCATGACTTGTGCATACCAGAGTCTGTTTTTTCGACGTCCATCTACCTGTTAACGTTGCTTGCAGATGTAAAGCTTCGTCAAATCTCGATTAAATAACCCTCTCTTGCTACCCACAAAGAATAGGTTATTGGCGAGGATTGTATGTAAAAGACACTGATAGCCTGTTTGGTTTGCGGTCTCCAAACTAACAGAATATTAGCCAGTAGTCTCCATTCATTGGGGATCTTACCATTGAGCTCGTGGTTGTAACTGTTTGAGCCATGGAATGGATATGCTAAATGCCATCGGGAAATGACCTTTTTATTTCATTCAGATCTCTGAAGTTTTTGACTAGTCTTGGAAGAAAAGCAAATTCTACAGATTGTATTGCTCTAAGTTTCTCATTGCAGATTCCTTGTAAAATTCGGTCCTACTATGAGTCCAAATAAGCTAGATTCGGTGTCATTGTTTGTTCTGGTTTGTGAGTCATGTGTGAGTCACATACCTGGTGCCTTAACTATTTCAAATTGTGTACTGGAAGTAAAACTGTTCATCTTCAATGCCTTTATTTGGTGAAACAGTTACCTACCTACCTTAAAGATGATTAGGTCCGATCTGTCATCAAAGGTATCTGCACCTGACGAGCACACTAAGTTATTCTCACACTCACGATCTATACACATTTGTGGATATCACCTTGTATGTTTTGTCTCCCAAATTTCAGAAACCGTTACTCCGTTAGCTACCAGGTGAACAGTTATTGTAAAGTTAGTGAATGTAACATCGATTAAACTTCAACTGAATCGGCTCAGTGTGCCCTAGGAATATTTTAGTTTATTTATGTGATGGCATTCCAGAAAATATTCCAAAGAACTTTATGGATCACTTGTTTCTCAGATTTTAATTTAAAGAAAAAGAAATTCAGTATTTGGACCTTCAAGGAAATTACGCATATTCTTCATTTGATTCCCATATTCAAACAGTTTGCTGAGATATGAGAACGCCCATTAAGTGCGCTGCAGAACCTTTTTCTATGCATATTTTGTGCAGTGTCTTTCATCTACCACAAAGTTTGAAGTAAATCCACCGGCTTATTGTAAGGATAATGGTGAGTATTCTAGTTCTTGTAGTATTGTGGTTCATTCGTTCATTCACTCATTCGGACATATATCTGACTTACAGCTATCATAAATTCACCTAGTATGATCATAAAATTTGCAGGCTTGAGAATAGGCAGCCTAAGAGCACCTCGGCTAGCATGTATGAATCCAACTAATCGAATATTATTGTGAAATTGATAAGAGTGGGAGTAACTTAAGCATATATGCAGATGAGATGAGAAGGAATACATAATTTCCAATTAGTAATGGGAGATACGTTAGATACCTTATTGCGGGGATTTTTTCATGCGAGATGAACTACAGCTAACACAGACGGTGCATCCACCAGCTTGCCAAAGTCTAATGTACAGAAGAATGCTGTCAGAATGTTCAGCGGCATTTGTGTGGCTGAGTTCCTCATTGCGTTGTGTGACATCTAAAGCTGGCCACCATGTCTCCGATTATGTGTGCCGTATTTATCCAGTAAAAAGGGTGAACCTACCTACGGATATTTGCAAACACGCGTTCGGAAAGAAGAACAAACTGTATTTTGAGATTATATCACTTTGTAGCCAACGATCGTCATCACATAAACTGTTATGGCAAAAGTTCTTTCACCCGATCTTCTGTACTCAAATGGTCATTGGTTACTTCGCAGCTACATATCAGAAACACCATTCCGACAATATGCATTTCGCTTTTCTCTTTAGGTAGATTCATTTGTAAACCAGACTCTCCACATAATATCATCTTACCGATAGTAAGTAGCCAACACTCGGACAATGAAGTGCTAGGCAATTAGAAAGCATCACGTCGTCTGGAGTAGTGCGTTGTTACCTGGGGAAATGCCAACAGATCGGGTTGCGCAGATGGCTGTAATTGTGTTCACCGAGCAAACATTTCGCCTCCAAACAGGCTGATATCACAAGTGCATAGTATACTAGCGGTGTATCCTTTGTTGGTATGTAGCCATTGAGTACTCCCTGTCGGTGCTTATATTTGTTTTTTGGCCTGGGTAATGACTTATTATTGAGCCGTCAAGGGGAGACGGGACCTTACCGTGGTGTGACGATATGCGCACCCCATCGACACATCGAGCTATACTGGGTGGTCTCCGCGGCACTCGTAGAGTCTCCCTTATTAGGCTGGTTAATGGATAGAGGTCTGATAAACAGTTTCCTGGCCCTCCAGGTTGAGGGTTCGAACATGTAGTGACTTGTTCCGTAGAAATGGTCATACATTTGCATCTCCCGCCAAACACCGCTGCCTTGCGGTTAGGCTTTTGAACCGAAGGCTTTGCCTGAGGACCCTAATCGTTCTCATGTCTAGGTGTTAGCGCCGTAGCAGTATCCCAGCCCACGTACGACCATGAACTGAAAGTAGAAAAATAAACTCATGCCACACCGGCGTTGCATGGTATCATCAGCCGAATCGCCTTACCTGCTGCATACAGCAGGGAAGGTGAGCGAAAATAGGCTACTGCTAACGCCTCCCTTGTCTCTTGTACATACTTTTTCATCCACCTCCCACAACCCTAATAATAGCTCTCCTATTGCAGGCCCAACACTTAGGACTGATGACTCCGTTCGTCTCGCATCGGTTTTGCGTGCAGCATCTGCTCGTGATGGCACCGACATCTTTAAGTATCTCAAAATCAACCTTCAAGCCTCAACAGCCTTTGTGCATTCTGAAGCAAGCGGAACAACGAGCTGCTCGAGCTCTCACACTGGACTCGCTTGGCATTGATGTGTGCTGTGCCTCAGAAACGAGAAGTCAAGCACAGTGATTGAGCTAACCGCCCCATCAGTCAACATCGTTTCCGGCTACGCACCTATGGTGATCCAGAGGCTGCTGTGCGAGTTGTGCAGGGTTCGGTATCATCCTAAGTCAGCGGGCGAAAGTATCGTTGCTTGACTGGATACCTGTTGATAGTCGACTCTGTGCGGTTCGTCTGACAACGTCTGTGAACGAGTCGCACAAGCGGCAAGTTGACAGATGTCTGTTTATCGCGTCTGCCTACTCCCCAACTGACTGTAGCTCCGAAGCCGTCAAAGACAGGTTTTATGATGCTCTGAATGTCTTGCTGAGGCGAGCTAAAAGCTCGAACATAGTAGTGATTGCCTAAGATATCAGTGAGCAAGTGGGGAGGGTTGGCGTATCTGAGACTCAATTAGGAAGTTGACATGAATTTGACTCAGTACGTACAGACAATGGGGAACGACTGCTTCAGCCGTGTGCTGATCGCAGGCTGTTTTTATGTAGTACTAACTTCCGCAATACCCGAAGTCCTCTGGCCACGTGGTGTCCTCCGACGGCATGCCGGCCACAAACTCAAATCGACCATATTGCCATCAGTTACTGATAGCACGGCTTAATAACTGACTGCCGGTCGTTTTGGAACACATTTGTGGACTCTGACCACGTGCTCGTACGAAGACGATTCCTGCTTTCTTTTTCAGGGTAGCCGAAAGAATTGTAGGTCCGGATGTTAAACGAATTTACCAGAATCATCTTCCGAAGTCCCTTCCAAATGTTCCACCATCAGATGCGAACTTATACTACGACGAGGTCGCCACTTCTTTGTATAGTGATGGGAATTCCGCCTGTGAAACGGCACCACCAGGCTCACTCAAGCACTCAGGCTCACCTAAATCTCAGAGGAATATCCCAGCCGGCCCCGAACATAACTTGGTGCGACGAGTTATGAGACGGCAAGTGAAGGTGAGCGTACAAGCGGACCGTGAAGTATGGTGGACACAGAAAGCCAAAGAAATGGGACAGGCCCAGGAAGCTGGTAATGCTTGAAGGTTATTTCAGTTGATCCGTGAGACGGGGCCGCAGAGATCACCTGTGAGCGAAACCATGAAGGATCGGATTGGGGTGAACATCTCGAATAAAGAAGGACGCCTAGACAAATGGACCGAATAATTTGAACATTAATCGTTGTGGTCACCAGCTAGCATCCTTCTGGAGCCCACAGGTGACGTGGAACCCTGAACGGTGAACGTGAAATCGCCCACGGCCTCGGAGGTTTATGACTGCATACGTTCTCTCTCACCGAGCCCATGGTCCAGATGACCTCCGACCCGCGTTGTTCGAAGATGTGGGTGAAGTCCTCATTCAGCGCTCGTCTAATCTGCCTGCTTGCGTTTGGAAAAAGGAGTGTGTTTCATACAACAGGAGAGTTGATGATGATGTCCATTTTCAGAAAGGGGCTCGCAGTAGGTGTGGCATCAACAAGGAGATCAGGTTGACCCGGGTTGTAAGGAGACCGTTGGCGTCACTCGTGCTTCGTCGCCTTATGGTGGCTCGTGAAACACCAACTCAAGAGCAGCCAGCGGAATTCCGGCCTGGTAGGGACTGCGTTAACCAAATCTTCTCACTTCGTCAGGTGCTAGAACAACACCATACGTATAAGTGACCCATAATTCTAACGTTTTTGGATTTCCAAGGCGCATTTGACTCGGTTGGTCGGTCTGTTCCGCTTGACACGCTCACCCATCATGGAGTAAACGTGATAAACTCTTTGCATTCTAAGACTTCAGGACTCGTGACAGTGTACGACGAGCTCTTCAAAAGCTTCCGTACACAAGGCGATGTCCGTCATGGATAGTAAATTTTCCCATTCCTGTTTAACTTTGCGATCGATGAAATCATGAGACGAACGCTGGAAGGCCACCAATATCCTGGCGTTCAAATGGCCTGTGACGGGAACCTGGTCGATCTGGAGTATGCCGGCAACACCGTTCTCATCTTCAAAGAGGAGAAGGCGCAGTTTTTTTGGATGAACCAAACAAAGTCATCCCGTCCTTTGGTATGCACTTTGCACCCAGAAAGTGAAAGGTCATACTGGTGGACATGCAGTCACCGAACATGCCACTTGTAATCCTGGGAGTGGTACTGGAATTTGTGCAGCGTTTTACTTATCATGGAAGTTGTATTATATGTGGATGTAGTGCGACCGATGAGGTCAGTGCACAAATCTTCAAGGCTCGGGTTGCGTTTGCTAATTTAAAAAAACGGCATATCCCTGAATCTCAAGGCACATGTGTATCAAGCTACTGTGGGCTGTTCTTTGCATGGCTGAGATTTGGCTTGTCAGAGCAGCGGTAATGAGACGTCTTCAGTTGTTCGACAATCATCTTTTCAGAACTAGCTCGTGTGGTCGGTGTCGGCGTATCCGTAACGAGGCTAGTTTTCGGTTGTGAAACTGGTACGTCCATTGAAGGATGTGTCCATCACCAGAAGCTGCGTTGGTTCGGACATGTGTTGCGTATGCTTAACCATCGCTTGAGGAAGAAAGTGCTGTTTTCCATGCTCAGTTCAGAGTGGCTGATGCAGAGAGGTGCCCAAACCTTGAGTTGGCAGAGTGGTGTGAAAAAAATCACGAAACTGCATGCTGTCGGTGCTACTTGCTTTGAGGATGGGGACCACGTGATCCTCACTGTGCCCGATTGGAGACACTGCAAGATATGGCTGCCAACCGATGTCAGAGGTGATCTTGTTGTCAGTTTCTATCCAGGTTGCTTGAGTGAGTGTTTGGGGGTGTAGGCACCTCAGAATGATTGTAGTTAGCTAGCAGTAAGTTCCCTTCCCGTCCACCTTAATTCTTTCCTTCACGATAAGGTTTCAAATGAATCATGGTTGTACGGTAGCGAAGCATCGGTGTTGAATAGTAATGTCAAGCTGTCGATGATTATTATTATTATTATTATTATTATTATTATTACGACCGGCCAGCTGACCAAGTCGGTTGGCTGATCACTCAGCTGCCTGATTGCTGGGCGCCTGAAAGACTATTTCCGCATGACCTTTAACCCGCTGGTGCCAGAGTTATTGTTGTTGCACCCGACCTGCTTGTATAATGGTTGTTACGATGTTCTACCAAGTTGCTCACAACTTTCTGGAAGCACCTCTCCCTCATGGACTACTTGACATCAATAGTACAGTCAAATGGACGAGCTGCCTCACAATTATCCTAGCCGGTTGCTCCCTGCAGTTAGTTTTCCTTTTCCTCCCTGACGGTCGAGTGGAAAAGTTATCGATTAATCGGATAGGTCGGATAGGTTCTGTTTAGCTGCCCACATTCATTGGCTCGTGGAACAGCGTAAGAACTAACGAGTTCCATTAAACGCACTGAAGATGTTTGGCCCTGGGCAATGTCTAGATTGTTCGGGTTTTTCATGCTACAACGTAGTAAAGAAAAGAATGATCGGTCGTATTAGGCACTTCCTGTCAGATTCATTGCCAGACATTGGTATTGTAAGGGCACCACCATTCTTGTGTGTTTCTGTGGCATGAGCCCTGGGCGGATAATGCTTTTGGCCCAATGGTAGGGATACATAAAGCATGGCTTCAGTGTACCTTGTGAAGTTGAAGGAGAATCCTATCTTGACCGGGCGGCTAGCTTAATTCACGCTGTAGACAGGTCAGCAGCATTCGACTTTACTTCTTTCAAATATTCAGCGTTAATCAACTATCATAAAGATGGAATAGCATCCAGCTCAAAATAGGCACTCACTCCTCTGTTTATCCCACAATAACAACCAGAGGTATTGAACTGCTTTGCATAGAGCAATGCGCGAGTGAATGTTTGAGCAGAAATAGATAGATGATTATGCCAGTAAAGCTGGCTGATAGTCCCCTGCAGAGTGATAATGCTGTGTCATTTCAAGTCAGCACAAAACAGCAGTGGAACCTCGAGAAGACCTCATCGATGAATGATCCCATAGGCTGATGCATTTGTCTATAGGTGATGCACAGAAAAGATTTATCAGTCATGATTCAATAGAATACACAACTTTCATACTACCGAAAGCTTTTTGAACGTGTTTTATATCTAGGAAGTTATCGGGCACAGTCCCTCTAAAATTTTTGTCAGTTAGAGCACACCATGTCAGGTTTAACAGAATGAAAAAAATAGATCTGATTTGACCTGAGAATAATTCATCTGAATCAAATGAGCACGGATTCACTAGTGTTCAGCGTGTTTTCCAATATATCGCACTGATATTCAGAAGTGAAGAGTAATTAACTACACTCATCATTCTAAAACGATTCAGGTTAACGCAGAATTGGGAACTAGATGCTTGTGTAAGATAAAATTCATTATAGATTTCTGAACACTAGACCTAAGGGAGTTGGAGCCGTGTAAGCCTTTTCGAAATTGTATGCTTATCCATATATATCACTTCTGTCCGACTAGAGTGTGGGCATCGTTTTGAGTTCACATATTGCTACATGGAACAGCCAATGTACGACGGACAGATGATCGTCATAATTCTCTTCAGTAGATGAAACATTCAACAAGCTGCACATATTTTACCTTATCCAAAGACGCGTCAAGGAGCTTCCTGATTTTTTACATTCATAACAAAATTTTCATCAGAATTTAGAACTAGTTTTTCTGCTACCTGGATTGTCCGGTAATACTCCCAAACAAAAACAAAAGCAAAAGGGAGAATACTTGTCCGTGGTACACCGGCTTAACAAGGTTTACACTAGAAAACGTAAACATTATACATGGTTAGTATAAATCAGACTGTGTTGGACTTTTTTCAATTTACTCAGTACTTTATTTTGTTGCCAGCAAAATTGTAATTTTCGAGCTTCAACTGATGTGGAGAGGGTGCTGGAA